GCCAGGATATTAACGAGTTATTTGTTAGACAATGTAAAACCTGTTTGTTCTGGTGTAAGTTGAGGGTCCCCTCTATAGAAAGGGGACGCGGAATAATTCCACCCTCAACGCTCAACTTACACCTCCACAGGGAGGTAAAACGTGCCAGTGGAAACCTGCGATAAGCTGATGTAATCAAATGACCCGTGTTATCGTATTGCTACTGCACTCGCATTTTCAACATGTCTAAGGATTATTCTCGTTGGTCTGATTCGACGTAATATTTTTAATCTTGTGTTCAAAACTTATTGTAGGCCTACATATAAAAGATTTTTAATTTTTTCATCATAAGTAGGGCAGTCTTACACTTCATCTAAATTATACACAACTGCGTTAAGGATGCAATGTGACTTATTATATTATTCCTTCCCTACCCCAGCAACCTAACCTTTCTTAATCAAGGCTAAACAAATCTCGAGAGTGAAAGTGCTCTTTACTTTTCTCATTAAAACAAACTTCAACTCCATTTATAAGTGTTAACGTCCCAACTCCTTCCAGTAGGTAGTTCTTGGTAAACAATGTGTGACAAAGACAGCGCAATTCCTTGGCACGTCCAACACTTTGTTAATCCATTACCTCTGGGGTCCATCCTAGAACATTTTATCTGTTGTTTCTTTTTAAGTCTTCAAACTAGCACTAGCACAAGTATAAATTCATTGAAATGTGTGCAGTATTATTCATTTAGCTTGAGTAAGTTTTACCATAGTCAAAGGTTTTGCATTAAAGTTTTAATGCATAAGTTAAGTTTGCTACATTAAGTTTAACAGATTTGATTGAAAACATAAAAGTTGTCCTCATAAAAATTAATCGTTAAAACGTGTCTCCGTTTAGCGTTAACCATGGAAGAATGATGTTATATTAATCTTCTATGTTTGTTCAAAATAGAAGAAAATATTGTTAAAATATTCCAATTTAATCAGTTCCAGAGAATTCATGCGGGGCTTTGTCTAGGTCTTAGTTAATTTTGACTTCCTCTTTCCAGATTTTATATTCTTCTTCATTGTCGTTCTTTGGTTGAATTTAATATATCCTATTATTATATTACTCTGTATGTAATTCACTCAATCTCGTTAAGCTAACTTTCATATTATTTTGTAATTGCATATTACATTATTTTTATTTGTTTTGACATAGTTTTGTGGATGAATAAACCTTGTTACCAGCCATTTGCTCCTGGTGATAAAAAGATTAAACTATTTTATGCTGCTTCAAAAATACCATGACTGAGGTCCTGATGTTGATTGTAGGAATTAATTTTCGCTAAGGTATATTAATATGGCAGGCTTTCTTGACTATGCCCGGGAGTCAGGGGTCGTTAACGTAAAACGCAATGTTTGGCGTACTAGTCCAGTCATATTCGGGGGTTTAGGTTGGAATAATTCACTAAGGGGTGAAACTTTGCACATGTGTAGTACTGGTACCCAGTAACAACATAATCAACAACATTATCGAATCAACATTCGTGCATGTTGTGCTATTTTTTTCACTTTTTTCACTAACCCTTGGAAATACAGAAATCTTCTTAGACAAATTTAAAGAACACACAAAAATACATCTTAAGTCTTTTACATATTTGCCTTATCTCTAACGGTTATTGAGAAAAATTGAAATTAATATTATATAAAACATTAATTATTTTTGTTTGATTACTGTCAGTTTAATTCTTTCAGACAAACATTCCATTGTGGCGGCCCTGATACAAAAAAAACCCTTAACAGTTAGGTTTATATTATATGAAATGTATAGGCTACATAACAAATATGCATAGCTATTGTAAAATGCCCCCGCCGCAGTCTAACCTGCAACCTAAACGAATTTCCATTTGCCTGATTTGATTTTCAATTAAATTACATTAGTTTTAACAAGTACCTAGGTTTGCTGCTAAAAGAAGGGTAATAAAGTGTGTTTTTAATAGAATATTAATAGCTTATTATCAAATAAATAAATTTACCAAGTTTGATCAAAATACATATATCCATAAACAAGCAAACTAACATAGGGATTTTTAATTAAATTTTTTTTAATGTTCTCCATAACCCAAAAAGCGTACAAAATAGTTATTTCGTAACTAGAGCCGAAAATGAGGGTTTGCCGGCTCGAGACGTTTTTAAGTTCGAGGTAAAGTCGAGAACTTAAAACGATCGAGAGCTGCAAAGCCATTTCGGTCCGTGGTACGAACGCTATTCTTCACGACACTATACTATTACAGGTACCACTATTCACCACAATGATAATGCACACTGATAACCAACACAACTACAACTTTAAAGTTATGTGAAGAAATAATTTGAGGAATCAGCAAAAATAATAACTAGGTGGCGATCGCAGAGGCATCCACAAAATTGAGCGGAGTCCTCAAGGGTTCATATTATATTTTTTTGTCATACTGCAGTAAAAACAGTCGTTTTTAATGCATGCGTTGCGGGTCTAAAGTAGCATTTTTACTCTTTAGGGAGTAAAAATTGTTTTTAGCCTCTATGGAGTAAAAATCAGCGGTTGTCAACTCAGTTGTAAATTTCTATTGTAAACGATTGCATGTATCAAAATATGTACCGATTCGTGCTTCGTAATCATTTTAACCTACCTACTAACAGTCTACAGTCTCTTCCCATAGCATTTTAGGATTGCAGATACATTAATGTAATTGCCAAAGACAGTTCCCACACTCTGCCTGCACTGCAAGCCTTACTACTTCCTTCACCACTTCCTACGTCGTGGGGCCTGTTTCCTTCCCTTCTCATAGCATTTTAGGATTAAAGATACTGCCACAGACGGTTCTCACACTATGCTCAAACTTTACTACTTCCTACATCGTGGACCTTTTTTCGTCACTTTCCACAGCATTTTAGTATTTTAGATACGTTAATCAAATTGCCACAATCATTCCCCACACTCCGCACTGCTAGCCTTTACTACTTCTTTCACAATTTTCTATGTCATGGGGATTCTTCCATCCCTTCTCATAGCATTTCAGCATTGCAGATACGTTAATCTAACTGCTACAAACAGTTTCCAGTTCCCACACTCCACACTGCTCAGTGCTCACCTAACTACTTCCTTCACCTCTTCTTACGTCGCGAACCTGTTTCCCTCTCTTTCCATAGAATTTTAAGATTGTAGATGCCATAATCTAATCGTCATAAACAGTTCCCACACTAGGGATAGCTTGCCTTGGACTACTTCCTTCACCACTTCCTACGTCGCTGACCTGTTTCCTTCCCTTCCAACAGCATTTTAGGATTGCAGATACCTTAATCTAATCATAATAAACAGTTCCCACACTCCGGACAGCTCGCCTTGACTACTTCCTTCACCACTTCCTACGTCACGGACCTCAAGCTAGTGTCGTCATTTGATTATATGGTCCATACCGTTTCTGTTCTAATATCTGTGGAATAATGCTATCAGATATTTCTTTATCTACTGCATTCAAAAGTCAACAGCTGATCATCTTTGTTTATGTGTCAAATACTGCTTCCATAAGGATTACATTGAAACTTTGAGACCCAGTGGGGCGGATTCCTGAGAGACTTTTTTAACGCCATATAGATGTTGGCACTCACCGATATGGTCTTTATGGTCTTTTCGTATGACGAAATGCATAAGTCTACGTATAAGAGCTTCGCTCGCTCCGCTCAATAAATAGTTGCTTGGCAGCGGCGACAATAAAAATAAACAATTATTGTATTGCAATGCTAGGGATACTGGGTAGTGTATTTAATATTTTAATATGCATTCATGTTTTAAGAAAGTAAGTGGGCAGCTGATTTTGTGGCCCTAGGGATGTAAAGACCTGCTCGGTCCCCAAATGACGATGACAGCTGGCATGGCCAGTAAAGGGTTAATAATAATACCATGATAATACGTAAATGTCGGATGTCATTATCAGGGAATGATACTTTAGTGGAATTTATTAAAGTTTTGATTTTTGTTTGGTAATTTTTTAGGGTCTTTCTTTAGTTCAATAACTTTATTTGCAGTAATAAACTCATCAACCTTAGCGATATAATTCTTTTTGTACATTATAACCGTGGTATTTCCTTTATCGGCTTTGCAAAGCATAGCATCGTGTTCAGAAAATTTGTTTTTGATGTTTTTAAAAACATTGATTTCATGCTTTTGCGTCCTCGTTAGTCAGCCTTATGTTTTGAGTTTGAAGTGGTTCCCCAGAGCTGGATATCATAAGTCCAATAAAATAGGTTTTAATATAATTTTGTATAAAAGTAATTTGTTTTTCAATAAATCATTTTGAATTTCGACCGATAAACCAATATAGTTTGTTTGTTTTCAAATTTAATTGAAGTCTTTTGTTCCAAATATGAGAATGCCATGCAAGGTACTTAACTTCGCCAGATTGTGGAAGCATGACATTTCAACGTTACTGTACTGAGGGGCAAGTTCGTAGGGTAAATGTAACTTGAATGGATTTTGTTTCGTTTACTTTGATTTTCAAATTTTGTAGCCACTACTAATATTAAGACAAGTCATCTAATGTAGCCTGTAAGTTTAGTTTGATGATACCATAATAGGATCCTGAATTGATTAAAAAAGCAGTGTCGTCTGCAAACGTTGCGAGCTGCGACTGTACTGTAATACCCTGAGTTCTTGGAAGATCATAAGTGAACAAAATGTATAAAATAGGACCAAGAGCACTGCCTTGCGGATTCGAAATTTTATGTACCACTGTAACTACATCTTATCTTGGTAGGCTATATTTTGAATAAGTATGACTTTCACGGCCACCTTTAAAGGTGGCCGTGCTTTAAAACTCCATGATAGTAAGATCAAAAATAAGTATAATAAAAAAACACTTTTGTCTTCTTATGTGCCTTGTTCGGTTTTTCTGCTGTCTGTCGTCTGTCTGTATGCCTGCCAGGTCCTACGCCTGCCGCCTGCCAACCAACACAAACAAACGCAACGCCAACGGATTGAACTGCAACGGAACGAAATACGAAATGCTTAGCTGTTTTTTTGCTGTTTGTTTGCTATTAACCTCATTGTTATTCGCAGCCAGACTTAATTTTCAACGTGGTGTTTGTTTTTAAATTAGAAGGTTAATCACACAATTTAATATGAGCACCATCCTTGAAAAAATTGCAGCTATTGAAGCTGAGGTAATTTTTATATCTGATAAGCATCTGTTCTAATTAATAACCAATAGGCCTATGCTCCGAGTCCCAACAATTTTTAGGTTAGGTTTTTGTTTTACTATTTCTTCATATTTTTATTGTTTCATAGGCATACACTGATTACAAACTTTTTAGTTTGTTTGAATCTCTTTAAATCGTTCTTCATTGTTTTTAAAAATTTCCAGCACTAAGTTTAGGCCTAGGCTATAAAAGTTAGGCCTAGCCAGTTTTATAAGTTGGCATAGGCTTCATTTAGCCTATTTGTTTGGACCCAACCCTAACATCTAGGCTTAAATGAAAATACTTTAACAATATTTAGAATGAATGAATTTTATAAAGTTTCTTGCCGGTAAGTTGGCCCTTTTCACAAATTAAGTTAGAAGGTATCTCCGTCCAAATTGTTTGTTTAAATAGGTAGCCTTCTGCTTGGCAGCACCACTTAACTTATGTTCAGTGCACCTCTTAACCAAGTTTAAAATCTATCAGATGTGGACTTCGCAACTAAGAATGGCGAAAGCTCGATCCATTCACAGTGAAGAAATAACTTAAACCCTTCCAGGGCTATGATCCGCCCAAAAAGCGAATTGATACACAATGTTTATAATACGGTAATAAACATTACACTGCATTATAAATGGGTTATTTTGTTTTTGTGGTTGGCAATAATAATTGCCGCAGCTGTTTCGGCTATTTTGCACCATAGAGTGTGCGTAGGTAAATATTGCTGTCACTTCACACATGGTTGTAAGTGAGTGATGTTTACATTTTGTGTTTTGTACTTTATTTTTATGTTATCGAGCTAAATTTATTAAGGCAAACGATCTGAAAATTGAAGATGTTATTGAGATGCTTTATAAAAGTATGTCTGAGAGGGGTTTTATACTTGGCAGGGAAAATAATAGTATGGAATGTGATGGATATGATGAACCTGAAGAACAGTCTTTACGTAGTGGAAGTCTTGGTGGGGAATGGGATTGAGGACATGGGAGCAAAACTGAGTGGTTTAGATTTACTTTTGAATGATAGATATACATTTTTATGGATAAAAAACAAAACAAGGGAAGGAATAGCCTAAGGTTGACGGATATATCCGTCTACCGCCCACAAGAATACTCTTGATTATTGGCAGTGTTCATATTTTATGATTATCACTGAGGGCAGCAGACGGATATATCCACCCACCTTATGTTTTTTGTGGGCCAAAGACGGATATATCCGTCAAATCAAATTTTATTTTCTTCATAACTTTTGTACAAAAATTAATTCAGCCCTAAGGAAAATCTTTTTATGATCCATGAATTATTTCAAGTTAAATAAATACAAAACGCAACCACTTTAGTTTTTAGTTTTTGGCAAAAAATAATTAAGCTCAAGTCCTTCATTTAATTTAGCCCTGGAAGGGTTAACTTAAGTCAACCACGGTGAATTATTTTAACTGGTCTTGAAAATAAGTTTTAACATTTAACTTAAGCCTACATCTGTGAATCTGATATAGGCATTTTTAACTTAAATTTAAGTTAGGTTAAGTTAGCTACTTGTTCTTCATTAAAGAATAATAAAAAGCAGAATCAGTCAAAACCAAATTTGATTTCTTTGAAAAAAAAGATTTCCTATCTTAGGCCTTAAGTTAAATGTTTGTATTTCAGATGGCAAGAACTCAGAAGAATAAAGCTACAGCAGGGCATCTTGGTTTACTTAAAGCTCGGTTGGCTAAATTGAGGCGAGAACTTATCACTCCTAAAGGTGGTGGTGGTGCAACTGTTGAAGGATTTGAAGTTGCCAAAACTGGAGATGCTCGAATCGGTTTTGTTGGTAAAGGACTTACACTAGGCCTATGCTACTAATTAAACTGCCACGTTAGATTCGCTGAAATACCAGCACTTATGCTGTACTTTACATAAGTTAAGCTTATGTTACTTAACTACCCCTCCGAGTGTTATGTGTCGTAAAAGCGACTCATAACAAATCCGCTGTAGTGTTATGTGTCGCTTTTGTGACTCACAAACACTGTTTACGGCGACGGATCTGGGACTGACTGAATCAGATTGAGCTGGATCGAGTTAGGTAGGCCTATCGTTTTTTTCAGCAGAGATTCAGAGCTTTCTCCTGATGTCTGTTTCTATACGCTTTTCATTTTAGTTCCGAAAATATTGTAGCAGACAGCTGACGTGCGTATTTATTTGTAAACAGCTTGGTTAACCTCGCACCGATGACTGATGTGTTTTATTACGTTTATCATTGTTTTAGTGTTAAAAATCAAAAGTAGTGATATTCAAGGTGCATTATAAGAAGATTTAAGTGATTTTGAAGGGCTGGTTGATGATCCTGAAGAAGTAGGTAGTGATATTGATGTAAATTATCATCCTGATTCCTAGCTATGGTTAGGCTATGCATTCTTAGCTAAACGCTATGTACCGAAATTTGTTTTTTGCCCATAACTTATTTATTTGCAAACCTACTTCCTTATGTTATTATATTTTTGGAATCCTCATAAAATTCTGAACAAAGTGGCTATTTTAAAATATTTGTAGACCTATAAATTATAACAATTTATTGGGCGCAAACATAAATTTTTTTCATTTATTTTATAATTTTTGAAAAATATTAACCCCACAAAAATTGTTGAAAATTTTTTTTTGTAATGTTTTTAAAAAATGTTACATTCAAGCCCATAATTTTCCAAACAAAATGATATACAAAACAGTATACTTTACATTGTTTTTAAGTTTCTAAGATACATTTTAATAAAACCCTGCAATTGCGCAATAAATGGGCGAACATTAAGACCAAAACTAGAGACACTTGGAGGGTTATATTAAAAAAGTGAAAAACATATTTTTTAAGATATTGTAGCCAGTTGTAGGCCCTAGGTTATTTGTATCTAGGGATGAAACTTAACCTTAATTTATGACCTATTTTTCTAGAGGTTGTTCTTTGCCAACAAATGTTAAGTTATTAGCGTTTTAGTATATTTTGTTTGGGCATTTAAATCACCATATAAATTGAAGTTTATTGAGTTAAGTTGTATAGGTGGCCACATTTTATTATAGGCCTAAAAACTCATCTCAACTTTTGAAAAAGTTGGCCTATTATTTGTTTTCGTAGTTGAAAAATTTCCCACAGAATGTTTTTTTGATTTTTTTAATGCCTTCATCAGCTGAACTTGAATTCTCAAGTCAGCAGAAAAAGAAAACTAATTCAACCACGCTAACCCAACAAAACATATTACCACTGAGTAAGTTAGCAAGATAGCCAACATCTTTAACTTTACATTCATGCTTAAAATAATTCAAGGAGTTAATTATGAGCTTTGATAATGATACTGGGGATCGGTCATTTTATAACCGACGGTTCTTCACATAGGTCAGCTATAAGTCGCCCATAAAATGACCAATTGGCAGTTCTAGGGTTTAAAGACGCAATAAATTTCAGGATTTCCTTCTGTTGGAAAGTCTACATTGCTGACAACCCTGGCAGGGGTCTATTCTGAAGTTGCTGCCTATGAATTCACGACTCTAACAACTGTGCCTGGTTGTATCAAGTACAAAGGAGCAAAGATCCAGGTATGTCTAAAATCAAAAGAAAGAAACTTGTTTCCCTACCATCAGTTAGTTAAGGCAGTTCGATTTATGTAGTTAAAAAGATTTTTTTAATTTAATTTTTAACCACACATTTACACAAATTTATTTTGAATTGGTTTATAGAGTAGGCCTATACACAGAGTAGAGTAAAATGGCTGTTTCAGCATATGGATCCGTAGTTCGCTTGTAAGCCGCAACAAGGTTCCTCGCTATGCTACTTACTGGCATAGGCATCATTTGTGAACAGAATGACACCATTTGCAGCTCTGTAGCTGACATGTACGCTTCGCTGTGTGTTTTTAAAATTTGTTTAACCATCGAACCTCCGGCCACATGTGAGATTACGTCAGTGCTACATTTTTTTATTACAAGAAACAAATACAATGCTCAGATTCATGGCCAGACGACTAAAGTCAAAAGCAAAGGCTCTAATGCAATGAGTGAGGGTAAAGTGTGGAAATATGTTAGGAGTATAAATATGGCCTTGAAATCCTTTTTCCTTTGTAAACTAGCCTAGCTGTTGAGTTTTAATCGACTACTTGATTCCGTAACTTAAATTTATTATTTAGAATATAACTGGCCACAATACTAGATAGTATTTTATTTCCAAAAAAAAAACTTAAATAAATTTCAGCAAAACTTAATTTTCTTAAAAGATGTCTGACATATAAAAAAAATACATTTTTAGTGTGGGAAAGGTAGTATGCCACACTCAAAGTCAAAGTGCCTCTGCAGAGTGCAGGAGAGTAGTGTCATAATGGTGCGAACCTGCTAGTGACTAAAAACACCTTCCAATCGGTTAAAGAATTGGCCAAAAATCTGCTTCCTTAACGCTATGTCTACACTACAAGCATTGTGTGAATATATGCATCACCAGTCCTTGAATGCTAAAGGGCATAATAATGTTTAACAATAACATTGTTCATTCTAACCTGTAGACATTTCCAGTAGTTATCAGTCTTCAAGGGTATGAATGACCAATAAAAAATATATTCTAAACCAACTTACCTAGTGTTTATTTTTCAGTTACTTGATCTTCCTGGAATCATAGAAGGAGCCAAGGATGGCAAAGGTCGTGGTAGACAAGTAATTGCTGTTGCCCGAACTTGCAGCCTCATTTTTATCGTTTTGGATGTTCTAAAACCCCTCGGGCACAAGAAGTTGATTGAACATGAGTTGGAAGGTTTTGGACTTCGGCTGAACAAACAACCTCCTAACATCGGTTTTCGTAAAAAGGATAAAGGAGGAATCAATCTACAAACACTTGTAAATATATTTTCATTACCAGTGTAATTTGTAGTTTGTTAACAGCATCTCCTGATATTTCATTCACATAGTTTTGAAGATTTAAATTTAAATTATGTAAAACTAGAATATTTCCATATTAAATATAATATCCAGTCATTATTGTTTTGTGTGATTGGTTGTTAAGAACATGTCAGAGGTTTATTGGGTTTTAAAAACATAAAGAAAACTATTGATGATTCAGGAAAGTTTCGTTTAGCTGTTTCAAATTCATTGAAAGATTCTTGATTCCAATTCCATCGATTCCATTAAGTAAAAAACTTTAAAAGTTTTAAACCCTTTTAAACACATGAAATATATAAAATATTGTATGTATAGCCTGTTACAAAAAGAAACCAAAAAGAAAATTTTATCATAACTTGAGGTGTGCCAGCCTGAGATTTTCAATCAAGCCAAACTCGAGGTAGTATCATCAATTCGTCATCGTCTCCTACGGTGGATAGTTGGAATTTTGCCACGATCTAGTAGACATCATTATCGTCTCCTGCAGTCGTATAGATATCTTTATTGTAACCCAAGGTCATGGCAAAATCCTGAATACCCAACGCGGTAATGGAATCATCATTATCGTCTTCCGGGATAATGGCTAATTCATTAACATCTCCCGTGGCTGTGTATTATCATCGTCTCTCGTGTCCGTCTATACATTGTTATCTTCTCCTGCGGAGGGGTTGACCCATTGTCATCTCCCGTGGTGGCGGCAAAATTCTGATCATTACCAAAGCTCGTGTAAATATCGTCATTGTCTCCCGATGTCACTGCCAAATCCTGAATACCCAGCACGGTAACGAAAACACCATCATCGTCTTTATTAATTATTAACATCTACCACGGACGTGAAGACTTTACCAGTCGTATACCGCGATCGCGTCAAAAGTTTTGATCATTTCCCTCCGGCCATTTAGACATTATCATCTTCTCCCGCGGTCACGGAATCGTTATCGTCGTCTTTCGCAATAGTGGTAGTTTTCAAATTGTGAGATATTCCAAGACGATTTGGGAATCTGTATTGTAGGGATGGTCAAGTCTCAAAATTTCGGGAAATTTTTAATCTCGTTACACGAGACGAGATTTCTTTTTGGCCGAGATTTTTATCGAGACAAGAATAAAAAATAAAAAAAAAAATTAAAAACGCCTGCAGAAAGTCAATGCAATACCTGCAATACAGGAGCGTGTTGTAGTTGCGTTTCCTTTGCGAAGGCGTTCTTATTTAATTAATTCTTTAAATGTAAATATTACTTTAATAACATTTGAGAAGTTTTGTTAAGTTTAAGCAGTGTGAGGAATGTTTTATTACTATAAAAAGTCAAAACAAGTAACTATTTTATAAAAATTAATATTGCTTTTATTTTATGATTTATTTTATTTTAGGATAAGTTGAACTCTATCCTAACTGATATCACTATGTTTCCTAATCGTAGGCATTTTTAATAAGTTAGGCGTGATTAATAAAAAAATGTTATGCTGATGTTTTTTAATAAAAGATTGTAAATATTCTTGCCTATTATCATTATTTTTGTATTTAAACAGTCATCTAACAATGTTACAAAATCAGGTAAAAATTTTGAACGTGCATTTCCCGTTGTGTACGAGAAGGGAAATCCCGTCTCGATCTCGTCTCGAAATTTTATGAGAAATAAAAAATCTTGTCTCGTCTCGTCTCGAACTAAATATCCAATCTCGTCCATCCCTACTGTATTGGAATCGAGTTTGAGCAGTAGATTCCGATTCCAACGTCAGGAATCGAGAAACGACTTGGAATCAGTTCATTCCTAAAAAACCAATAGAGTCCCTGATATTTCAAAAAAGTGTGTCAAACCCAACAACTAGGGAGTGTTGAGTTTGTCAGGTTTCATTGCTGCAGTGCAATTCAAATCAAATACAAGAGTACCTATGTGCTATTGATATTAACATTCAGTATAAATTTGTTGAATGTAACACTGGACTAGATAATCAAGGCATCAATCAGAGGATATCAGTGGTAGTATTGTAGCCTAATAAGACAGACATCTGCTAGTTGGAGACCAGCCATCTTCACTTCTTGTGGGTCTTCGAGTACCGGTACCCAAAATGTCTAATGTTGTGCAAGACCAAAAATTAGGTTGAGAGACTGGCTCGCATTGGTAATAATTTATAGGCCAGGTTTTATTGTACCTTTCATTATACTTATCATTATATTTAAGGGACTTTCCTGTCAAAGGGAACATTCATTATTATCGATGATTTCTTTTGGAGATATTGATATTTTATTTTTGTATTCAATATATTGATATTAACAAATTTAAACTTATCAGCTGATACTTAGCCTACGATAAATAAATATTGTTCAGTATCAAAAAAAAAAAAAAAAAAAATTATATTGAAATGAAACTGTTCTAAACTAACCTAACTAACCAAACTTGCTGTATCATTTCAAAATTCCGTTTGATAGCCTATTAGTGAGTCGGTGGCTCAGTCGGTAGCGTCGCGGACTTCGGGCCCAAGGCAGCGATGTCGTGGGTTCGGATCCTGGTCACTGCCGATAACATTTTATCAGTACAGTTCACCTTTGTACTGTACCGGCTCACTCCTTGCTTTGCTGTTAACGATCCACGCACGGGCGCTTAGTCTATGTGGACGGGCAAATGCAAGGTTAAAAGAGGCCGCCAACCTCTTTTTTTAAAAAAAAATTCCCCATATGCCTTTTCTGTTATCAAACGTTATTTTGAAACGGTAACTTAGCCTTGACAGCTGTTGAAAATGCCTGCCTTTTGTTATTTGTAATAGTCATACTACAGATGATATGAATGTTTAAGTTTACTATCAGCTGTCTGTTTTTGTTTGTCCACAAATTTGTTCATTATAAAGATAGATGAGAAATACTTTTGCTTAATTTTATAGTTTAAATTCGTTTTTCGTCGTAGTAATACTTAGATTATCCCTAAACACCTCCACTTGGGAGAATAATTCAAGAACAGCAAGTTTGGTTAGTTATGTTAGGTTAGTTTAGAATAGTTTAATTTCTTAATCCAATATATAGGCTATTATTTTTGCCTAAATAAGATCGTTCGTAATCCTATTCTATAATACGAGCTATAACTCGGTTATTGAACCAAGTATAACTAAGACATATTTTGCTATGTCTGTTTGTCTGTCTGTCTGTAATTTAAATGCCTTTGAAGATATTAAAACAGATGGAATATATATCGTAAAGGAAAACATAAATATCAATATAGGTATCGAAAATAAATCATCGATAATAATGAATGTTCCCCTTAACAGTAAAGTACCATTTTTAAATTTACATTTTATTTTAAAAACGAACAAACTTATTTCCTTTTAGTTTTGAGTTCCATATTAAAAATATTTTTGTTACTGTTTGTTGAATAGGCAGAACTTTCGAAAACTGTGACTTAAAACTCTAGTTAGCCCCCTCTTAGTAGTTATGTATTGTTTTGGAAATATTTGGATTGCTTACCGGTAACCTTAAAATGTGTACAGGTTCCACAATCAGAACTAGATCTAGACACAGTCAAGACAATACTGTCAGAGTATAGGATCCACAACGCTGACATCACCTTGAGATATGACGCAACCAGTGACGACTTGATTGATGTAATTGAAGGAAACCGGATATACATACCCTGCATTTACCTGCTCAACAAAATAGGTAATCTCTACAGTAATAAGTTGCAAATAGTAGTGAGTTCCAATCAAGGGATCAACCATTGATTATGAATACTCACAATTTGTGTTTATAGTCAATGCTATTATATACTATTGTCAGCAAGTTATCAAGCTAATGAAATGTACACGAAGCCTATCACAAGTTACAAATTGTGAGATTTACTAGTACCATTGACTATATCTACACTTTGTGTGTAATGCTTGTACCATCTGTCCAATCTGGCAACATCACCCTCGATCTGACAACATGGCGGCAAGTGATAAGCCTCTATCATTCAACTAGTTTTCTACTAGTTGTTTTGTCAGTTGAACATGTCATTTGTTGTGAAATGCAAAGGCTATTTTGAATTATATAAAACAATTACGAATATGAGCTAATGAACTTGGAATTATTTATATTAGCTGACTTCAGAGTATTCCAAATAACATATAATAGTTCAAACATACCTCATCAGCACTACATGTTAAGGATTGTCTGACGAGGTATTTTTTAACCATTATATGTCATATTACGCAATCCTGGGGCTATGAAAATGAATTTTAATTCCAAATAAACTATGATGTGCCCCACTCTTTGCAACCCTCAATGTCAGTCGAGTTTTACTATCATTAACAGTATATGTAATGAGTACAGTATATGTATACTTTACATACACTTATCACTTTGTTTACGGTACTTTTCAGTATCGTTATCTTTACAGGTATCGAGAATCGGAATCGGCACATCCCTAATTTTAATTATAATACAGTAATCTAAAAGCTAATAAACTCTTAGAAAATATTTTGTTTCTACTTTAAATAAATCCAATAGCTAGAGATTCTCCATCTTTGTAAGATAAGATACTTCTAGACATTCATATTTTACTTATTTGCTGAATACTGAGGCTATAAAGTATAAACTGATGTTTGTCAAATCAATGTCTATTTAAATAAGTCTTTGAGAGTAATGAGAGGAACTCTAATGCCAACTCTTCCCTTGACTTAAAATTTGTGCAATACAGCTTAACCTGATACCAAACACAATGGTAACGGTAACCAAAACTTGTATTCATTCAGTTTACTTAGTTAACTAGTTAGTAGGCTACAGTAATTATATATTTGTATTTCCAGATCAAATAAGCATTGAAGAGCTTGACATAATTTACAAGATACCTCATTGTGTTCCTATATCTGCACATCACAAATGGAACTTTGATGATCTACTAGAGAAGATGTGGGACTACCTGAAACTTGTCAGGATGTAAGAAACTCTCTTAACTATCTATCTAGGAGTTTGTGGGTTTCATATGTTTTTGAGTCTGAGAGATCGGTTTGGGCCAGAAATAATTGTTGGGCCAATCTTCAGTTGGGTAATTTATATTTGATGTGTGCAAGCAGCTTGATTTTTATTCCAAGCTTAAGAATTTATTCTCACATTCACCAAAAGCGTCTGCAAAGGTGATCGATCGTAAATTCACTTTCAGTTTTGCCACAACAGCGGTACATATGGTCATGATTTTGCTGTGATCTCAGAAGGCAATACAGCAGAAGAAAATCACAATTTCACTGTGATCGCAGGACATAATGCACGATTTTGTATAGTTCAACAATAGTATAAAATTTATATTTTTTTTTGTAATTAATAAATTCCAAACTAAACCAATTTTGGTTCAAGACCATAAGCCGATTATTTAAACCACCTGAAATAAAAAGTCTGTCATGGAGACCCCTACTATCAACCTAAACAACCTATTGGGTGATACTGTTTTCTTACCTAAATGGAATTGGGTATTTTCTCCTGAGTTGAAGGTGTTGAACTGTTGGCAAATGTTATTGAACATAAATTATTTTGTCTAGTTTCTAATTAAATGGGATCCAAGATCAATTAAAACAAAAGCCGTAATAAATTTCAAATATTACATTCACACATTGAACAATAATTTAAGAATCTTCCTACACACCTCACACCTCTTCGTCCTTTTGCATTGGTTGTACGATTGAATTTGGGATAGTTTTATTGTTCTAAAGTAATCAGTGTATATGGTAAAGAGTTATCATGCCAGAGAGTATCAATAACAAATCACTACTCTGTTTTTAGATACACAAAGCCTAAAGGACAGCTTCCAGATTATGGATCTCCAGTTGTACTTCATTTTGAAAAGAGATCTGTTGAGGACTTCTGCAACAAGTTACATAGATCTATTGCCAAGGAATTCAAATAGTGAGTTCAAATAGTAGACTACTGTAATCAGAAGTCGTATCTAAACATTTTAGGCAAGTAAAGCAGCTCACCGACATTTTGAGCAATACAGGTTCTTCTAAAATATGATTGAACCATACACCATACATATAATATGTCATATGAATACCATAGGCCTAATACCACATAAAAAAATAGCACTACACAAATGTGATAAGTTTAATTATTGTTATTTCACTTCATTGACAAGTATGGATGGGGAGATGATGTATTGCTTCTGAATCGAGTTGCATTGATTAGAATCTAAAATCTTTTGAATCAAATCATTACTTCGAATCAAAAATTGTTTGCTGCTTCGCACACTTTTAACTTATCATCTAACAATATCCTACTAATATTATAAATTAGAAAGTTTGGATGTATGTATGTATGTTTGTGACAAGTAAACGTGAAAAATACTGGTCGGATTGAGCTGAAATTTGGTATGATGATAGCTCTCATTCCCGATTAACATATAGACACATTCTTATCTCAAAAGTCCTTTCGGGCTCTACCCCAGAGGCTCTGGAGTTTCCCATGTTAACCTTATGAATAATCATATTTAAAAGGAATAAAAGAATTTTGTCAGCTGTTTCAACTACACAAGTTGGTTCTATGATATTAAATGGATGGGGAAATGACGTATTGCTTTAAATCGAGTTGCATGGATTTAAATCGAAGATCTTTTAAATCAAATCGTTGCTTCAAATCAAAAATTGTTTGCTGCTTTGCACACTTTTAACTCATCTAACAATATTTAGATATAACTTAATTAAATGACAATGGGAGTTCCTATAGCTCACAATAAGTCAGTGTTTGACTAGGTAAAAAAATTTGTGTATTTGACAGAAATTTAAGTAAAATTTGTATCAGCACAATCTGTCACTGACTCACTTCAACTACAGCTATTTTGATTTTATAATCAGCATTGACAACTTAAATTTTTTTACTATAAAGGTAAGATTTTACTTTATTTTTGCCTTAAAGTGTCAAATGTCCTAGTTTATGCTGTACATGTTTCGAGCTACTTACAGCTCATCTTCAGCAGCATTCTTTGAAGTGTTAAAATATCACTTCAAACGTTGTCTGTTAACTGTTTACAGTTTTGTTTGAGTTATCGAGGTCTTGCTGACTCTAATATGTAATAATAAGTATTAAATTGTCAATTATCAAAGTCAAAATAAAAGTAGTCAATTTCAGTACCACATTTCAATCACTATTTATTTACTCATTTTTCAATATTAAAAACATATGATAATTAATCTTTACAAATAAGCTATACAGCAGAAATATAAAGATTAATCAATGGTCATACATATATATGAAATTAGTCATTAACAATAAGGTTTTCTTTTCTTGCACAATAATGAAATAGAAAATCTTTCATTGCGGGATAAAATGTTGTCCTACTTTAGTTATAAATGATTTCATCTGATGGATACAGTAAAAGTGAACATGATAATCCTTCAATACAAGATAAGGTAATCTGATGGATACAGTAAAAGTGAACATGATAATCCTTCAATACAAGATAAGGTAAGAGTAGGATGTATATGATCTTGTATGGGAGTAAAATTAGGTCACTCTTAGATACGCAACACGTCGTTTACTATTAGTTCAATATTTATTTTTGTGTTAAGGTGTTTACATGTTTCGAGCTACTTACAGCCCATCTTCAGCAGCATTCTTCTGTTAAAATATCACATCAAACGATGTTTGTCAACTATTTACAGTTTATATACACATACACTCTCACGGAAATATACATAGAACTTGTTTTACAATTGCCTGCAGGTAAACATGTTTCATGTTTGCGTACGCACGGTTAGATTACCTCGACCGGGCAACATTTGTAGGCCTACTAAAGGAACTTGATGAAGTGTGACGTTACAGTATCAGCTGACTGGCGGTTCTTATTTCCAGTTTTGTTATCTGCATCACAAAACAGCTGGTAGGTAATCTTGTCTGAATATTCCTTTTACTTTTACTTTGTTTTTCCGGCTACAACTTTTTAAAACGCCTAATGATTTTTCAAAATCAATTTTGTGACCCATATTACTCTGAAAATGTTAGGCAACAATCAACATTGGATTAATTTGTTTGGTGGGATTGTGTTCCTTGAATCTCTGATAAAATGACCTATTGGTGTACCCAACAGGTTTTTTTGTCACATTTGTCGCCATCGTTGCATTGTATCAGATATACCCCTTTATCCTGTTTTTTATCTATCGATTGTGTATGTCCTTGTATAGGTTTGCTGAGTTTGTTGGGTTGTTGAGTTTGTAACCAGGCTGGATACCATTATTTGTTTAAATATTGCCGATTGTTTCAGAAAATTTGTTTACATAACAGAAAGAGATATATTTTTTATTTATGGAATGATCTTGTGGTTTATGTAGGTTGTGCTTTGTTTTCCTAATTAAATTGTCAATTAATTGAATAACGTAGCCATTGTTGAAAGCATTTTGTTTGATAATATTCTTTCCTTTTTCAAATTCACGGGGACAAAGGTTATATGTGAGAAGTCGGTATATCATAGATCGGTTATTGATATGGATGATTGGAGTTTTTTCGGTATCACTAAGTCAGTTTGTGTTGGTTTTCTATAGATGCCAAATTCGTAGCTACTATTGTTTACTTTGGTTATTTTGACGTCTAGGAAGTTTAAACAGTTGTTGTCTTCCAATTCCATTTAAAATTTGAGATAGTTATGAATGTTGTTCAAATACTTTATAAAAGCATTTACCTGTCGTTTAGATTTTTTTAAACACAATAAACGAATCATCAACATACCTCTTTTAGAATAGTACTTTACGGTGGAGGGGGTTAGTTGGCGTTAAAATGTTATTTTCCTCAAACTGATGTAGATAGATTTCAGCTAGGAAAGCCAACAAGGGGCCACCTATAGGCAGTCCTTTAGGGTCGCAATATGTTTTACTGTTCCATTCAAAATAATTCTGTTTGGTTATTTCCTCGGCTATTGTTTTAATGTCTTGCATTTCATGCTCAGAGAATGGTTCAGACTGTTGTAGTTTTATAACTAACTAGCTGAACCCGGCAGACGTTGTCTTGCCTTTGACTATTTATAATCCCGCAGGCTTTGCCCCGTTTAACTTCATAATTTTCAAGATGATCTCGTTCGCATGGCTCAATCACGTTCTGGTTGAAGTTCGTTCGCTACGCTCACTCACCTTTAGGTTGGAGCTCGTTCGCTGCGCTCACTTGCCTTCAGGTTAGCTTGTTTGCTACGCTCACTTGCCTTCAGGTTAGCTCGTTCACTACGCTAACTCGCCTCCAGGTTGAAGTTCGTTCGCTATGCTCACTCACCTTTTGGTTGCAAATTAGCTGTTGTCATAAATGTAAAAGAAATAGTAGTGCTGATGCCAATTACCAACAGGGTGCCTGTTGGTAATCCTTGTAACTTAAATGCTATTGAACATCATAGAACAGAACCAACTTGTTTAATTAAAACAGCTGTTAAGATTCATTAATTCAATTTCTCATAACGTTAACATGGGAAACTCCAGAGCCACTGGGGCGGAGCCGATTGGACGGATCACGAAATTGATGGTGTATAAACCTATTCCATGACATTCTACACGTATGTACCAAGTTCCGTGGCAATCGGTTCAGCGGTGTCTGAGTTTATCACTGCCAAACAAACAAACAAACAAACAAATATATATACAAACATCCTCTTTTATACTTATAGATGTGTCAATAGCTTCATTAGTAGGTATGTTTAGACACATTATTATCAACATCTATTGATAATAAGATACTGTTTGGGTCGTGTTTGTTTGGTTTTAAAGAGTCAATAAATTATTTGGAGTTTTGACAAATCGGAGGCCATATCAAGTTTAGACTAAAGCATATTTGTTAGGTATTTACTTAAATTGTACGATGGAGCTGGGATGCAATTGATGACAGGTCTGATAGGAAATCCGTCTTTATGGGTTTTAACTATAGGCTTGAACTGTGGTGGAGTAGCTTTTAAATTAATCAAATGTTTTTGTTTTTTGTGATGAATAATTTCATTGTTGTTTACAAGATTAAATACAATAGAAAAATTATACATCTTGTAAACAACAATTATATTATTCATCCTAAAAAACCTTCAAGTCAGAAAGCATTAATTACCATTATGATAGAATAAATCCATTACTGTATATGCACAAATAACTGATTAGTTGTTTTACATTCTATATTCTATGTACTCTTAGATAGAAATCACTATATTAAATACTGTACTTACAATAAACTTTGTTATCTTGCTTCTACAGTTACTCTTCAGTGAAAAATTAACTAGATTGGAACTATTGTATTTTACTAGTAATAACTAATTGTACGTCATTAAATGTCATTTTATATTTTCCCAGGTGCAAGAACTAAAAATTGAATTATTTGTTACCTTTTTTAGTAGGACAAGCCTTTGTTCTTGCAGGTTAGTTGTTCCCTCCGATATATTTCGCCATGGTGTGTTGCATCCTCAATGTGCTCAGCACGATGTTGAGATCATGTTGCGGCATCTTCGCGAGCGCAAACGCATGGCGGACAATTGTAGGAATTCAAACTCCCACTGACTGTTTTTGTTCACTGACCTACTGCGGAGAAGAGTTGGTTTTGCAGGTTGAGAATCTAGGTTTTGTTGGTATGGGGAACTTTCATTATTGCAGTGTTGCCAAATAGTTAGGAAATTTATACTGTTGTCAGTTGGTGCTGTATTTTCTATGGCCCATGAAGATTCTGCGACATGGTCTTAATGTTATCGTGCTGTGTGTATATAGTGTACAATCATATAAATTGAACTCTCTATACTCCCAGAGGATGCCACACACCGCGGCCAAATATATTTGAGAAAACGACTAACCTCCAAGAACAAAGGCTACTAAATAAGGTAACAAATACTTCAATGTAGCCTGGCTACATTATTATAAAAACTCTTTTTTTTCTAAGTCTTAATGCATTTCCTTTTCCAGTGCTTTAGTATGGGGCTCTTCAGTGAAGCATCAGCCACAGAAAGTGGGCAAGGACCACATTCTGAATGATGAAGATGTTGTGCAAATTGTCAAGAAAGTCTAACTCGAAGCACAAGCAAAGTCTCATAAAGAGCAATACCATGTATTGCTAATGTGGCATTGACAGAAACCAGGAGTGAGGGCCACGATCACCACTTCTAAACATTTCTAACATTGGCTGGAACCCAAGGAATAACTCATCCCTTACTGTTATGTTTTAAATAATTGATTCTTGGTTCTTTTTTACCACAAAATCATATTACTATCATATTGTTTTCTTAATAATTTTCCTTAACCAACCAATGAGTCTGTGTAACCAATGATTTAATGAATTCGTCAAATATATCATGGAATACAACAAGTGGGTCTGACCTCTGGTATCTGTTTTAAAATAACAACCTGTTTAAGAAAAATGCCACTCTTCTTGGTCTTACTGTAAATAAAAAGTTACTACTATTATTATTTGTTTATGTGATTTCTTTTTTCTAACAACCCAGACCATACCATGCCATTAGGGCATTGCATCACTGCCAAGAAATTCACCCTGAATGGCTGTTCTAGATAGGACAGACAAGCATTAATTTGACTGAGAACTAGATGTAAGTTTTATTAGGTTGTTAAAGTAAATTAATTAATATTAATAGGAAACAAAAATGCTCTTTACATAGGCTATTAGGTCTCATGGTAAGACCTAAACCTGGGACTGATTGACTTTTTTCATTCTTAGGTCGGTGCTTCACGTCAAATGTCGGTTCCGTCGGTTTTTAGCAAAAGAATGGAACCGAGAACCGCTGGTGAAATGTCAGTACCGGTACCAATAATGCCAGAAAATTACTGATATTGCCGCGATTGCACAAGACGACGATGACGTTTCCGTGACTGCGGGAGATGATTTTGCCGCGATCGCGGATTACGACAATGACGTTACCGTGATCCCAGGAGACGATGATGACATCTACATGGCCGCAAGGGATGTTCATGATTTTTACCGCGATGGTGGAAAATGATGATGATGTCTAAAGGACTGTGGGAGATTTTCATGATATAGCCACCGCGTAAACAGTGACGATGTTTAAATAATTTAGAAAGATATTTAGGATTTTCTAATTCATGTAACTGCGATAAATTAAGTGAAATTATATTATTAGTATGTTAACTGGTATCTCTTCTTTTGTAAGAACCTTTAAAAAGTATTAAAACCGTATTGGTGGATCTTTTGTAGTTCAACACTTCCGCAATTTCATCAGTGTAATGCAGAGTAATCTATGATTTTATTCAAGAAAAAATATCTGTTTAGAAGACACGTTCTAACTTCAAAGAGAGTTGTGTCCGTTACAGTGTAAGTTTGATTTTTCCTTCGTCATGTCGCGTCAGTTCATATCATACTTCTGTTCAATGAATGAACCCTCTGGCATAGTTTTGAGAAATTTGTTGTGGGGTTACTCTTAAAGCTGGAATTCCTTGACATGGCGGATGTCAGTTAGTTGTCTCAGCCTTATCAATTACATAAAGTTGTCAATATAATATCTCTACAGAATGTTAGGTGTAGTGGAATATACTTGAAGTGAAGTTGGTTTTTATATTATGAACTGTTACGGACCTCCTCATTTATATGGTTGTACGGCTTCATTGGCAATGAAATAATGCAAATTACATAGTAATGTGACATTTCCAAAAAGCAAAAAATACTGTAAATTGGCTGATACGTAAATAGTGAAGTTTACATGCATTGTTGTAATCAATGTATCTTATAAAGGATGATGCGATCTAGTTTAAAAGGAACATGACCTTTCTATCACGACAGTAGCTGCTTAAATGGTAATTACTCTTTGTGCCATTTTTATAGTCAAAGTGTAGTGTTATTTTCAATAATCTCACCAACCCAGTGGGCCACGGTCCGTAATATAGGCCACTGCAAATAATTTGTCAAGATTGTAGCATTTTAGGCAAGGTTTCTGTGTTTGTATGTTATTAGAAACGGTAAGAGCACAATTAACTTCTTCTGCAGATGAATAATCTGTTGGAGAAATATAAGCCGAATTATAAGTGTCACAATGCGAGTTTGAGTATTTTGTAACTATGTGGGTAGGTTACATAGTCTTTTAGGCTGCTGCTCAGTGCACTATAAGAATATACTTTTTAGTGATAAATCTAATATATAAAATTCTCGTGTCACAGTGTTTGTCTGCAAACTCCTCCGGAACGACTTCACCGATCGTTATGAAATTTGGTGTGTAAATTCTGTAGGTATGCGAATCGGACGTAAACTATTTCCCGTTTCGAAATTCTTAAAAGGGCTCCGCCCCAGTGGCTCTGGAGTTTCCCATGTTAACCTTATGAGAAATGGAATTAATGAATCTTAACAGCTGTTTCAATTAAACAAGTTTGTTCTGTTCTATGATGTTCAATAGCATTAAAGTTACAAGGATTACCAACAGGGTGCAGCACTATTATTTCTTTTACATTTATGACAACAGCTAATTTGCAACCAAAAGGTGAGTGAGCGTAGCGAACGAACTTCAACCTGGAGGCGAGTGAGCGTAGCGAACGAGCTAACCTGAAGGCAAGTGAGCGCAGCGAACGAGCTCCAACCTAAAGGTGAGTGAGCGTAGCGAACGAGCTCCAACCCAAAGGTGAGTGAGCGTAGCGAACGAACTTCAACCAGGACGTGATTGAGCGATGCGAACGAGATCATCTTGAAAATTAAACGTAACGGTACTTTCTTTCCATCGGTCTGTCTTAGGGGAAACCTATAACTTAGGCGATACAAAGTTCGCCGGGTCAGCTAGTAATATATAAAATAACATGAGTACCCTTTTTTATATTCTTTTTTTGTTAAACTAATCCCTATTTAAATAGAAAATAATAATGTGATATTTTTAACTCAAACATCTTTGACAGTTGTTACAAACTGCATAATAGCGTCAACAAAATCTCTCTTAAACAAATCAAATAATATTTCCTTATGGATAAAATCTAAAAACTAAAGAAAGACCATTGTTTTTTAAAAAATTCTTCAACACTGTAACAACAGCGTGACAAAAGAAGACTCTTAACCCCTTTGCCAAATTTGTCTACGCTACAGTATTTTCCATCTTCAGGGGAGTGGGCAGTGCAATGAACAGAGTTGAACGCCATTGTAAAATAAATGATTTTCAAAAAAGCAGTTTTGTGTTTTGGAATGTCTAAAACCGGCTTCACAAACCATAGGAGATAGGGTGAGGCAGATTTTGAAAAAGGTCGATATTTTTCTTGACAAATACAAGACAGTTTAAGATGTAGGTGGACGGAAAAGAGGGGACATTTTAGTGTAAATCCAATCATGCAAATGGAAATTCGCTTAGTCTGCAGGTTTGCTGCGGTGGGGGTATTTATATTTTTTACACTCAAAACTTAATCTGTGTCTCAATAATTCTTATGATGGACCTACTTAGAAATGTAAAATGTTGAATGAATCTTAAATTTGAGTGGCATTAACCTCACACTAAAGATGTAAAAATTTTCAAATTTAAAAATTTAAAATGGTGTTCATTTCAAATTTTTGAACAAGAACAACTTTAAATACCCCCGCCACAGCAAACCTGCAGACTAAGTGAATTTCCATTTGACTGATTTGGTTTTCTATTAAATCTATTCCAATAAAATTAGGTTTAACAAGTACCTAGGTTTGCTGCTACAGGGAGGATAATAAAGTGTGTTATTAGTCAACATTAATAGCTTAGTATAAAATAAATAGATTTGTCAAGTTTGATCAAAATAAATCCATAAACAAGCAAACTACAACAGTTAACTTATCCTCCATAAAAATAACATGGAAATTTTGAATTTAGAATTGTTTTGTTTTTCTTTGTAACGAATAACCATACAAAAACACTTCAATACACTAAATTATTTGTTTATTTACAGAGAAATTGGGAAATTTTTTGTTTTGAGGGTCAAAAACGAGTAAAACCTATTTATATACCCCATAAATCCCCCCATGAAACCCCGTTCCCATGGTCCGATCAAGCTGGTTTGCGAACTCTTTCAAATAAACGTAGGTTTACACGTTTGTACCAAGTTCATCGAAAATGGATCATTTTTGGTGCAGTTAATGTGCTAACAGACATATATATATATATATATGAATTTGAACGGATGGTCTTTTTGGCCTATGGGGATATCCAAACGATAATCCAGGTCTTAAGGTACGTTTTGCCTGGAGCGACAGGTGCGACGGTCGCGCAGCGACTGTCGCCGAGCGGCAGTCGCGGGGTGGTAGACTGTTTTGCTTGGAGCGACAACTTCTTTGGCGTCACGAGACGTGGTACCGTCAGTGCAACTAACCTCAAAAGTGCGCACTATAAAGTCACTAAATAAATTCGATAAATTCACTTAGTAAAACAGGCAAAACTTAACAATAAAGTATTCTTTATAGGCCTAGTTATTTGTTATGAGTAACATTCCAAAACTGCCATATCACAAGCCAACATGTAATAAAATTACTCAATTGCACTGTAGTACACAAGCATAACTTGAATTGGAAATCAGTATTATAAACAACCTCCTCACAGAGTGAAAATTATATTTTGTTGATTGTATAGTAAATGAAAAAATACCAATTACATTATATACTCCATTAATATTTGAATAGCCTCTTCTTAACACATTACTTTAATAATTGGCATTTTATATATTTACATATGACACGCCTGACTTTTAAGCCAATTTGATCAACAACCATTTATACAGAACAATATTTTATTAAATCACCTAAACGAAAATGTAATTAGAAGTATTTAAAGTTGACAATCTAAATAATCTACTAATATGTTAAAATAACTTAATATAACATAAATAACATAATATTAAACTAACCTGACGTTGTCCTTTATTCCTTGGTCTTTGTAGGATATAATATAAAGCGCGGGGTGTTTTGCCACTTCTTCTAATAAACTGTAGTCTTCCTCACCACTAAAATTTAACTTGTCGCTAAGCGACCGTCGCTCCTGACTGGTCTTGGAGCAGTACCCAGCGACTGCAGCTCGCGGCTCTAGCGACAGTAGCTCCAAGCAAAACAGGACTATGCAAAACCCCTTTGATCAGTGTCCCGCGACTGCCGCTCAGCGACCGTCGCACCTGTCGCTCCAGGCAAAACGTACCTTTACCATGAAACCTACGTTAATGGCTTATAGGAAATTCGCTAAAACTATAATTTGCAGATGATACTTCCCCAGCACTACCCAGCCCTTCCCTAGAGTCACTCGAGCAAATGGCATTCTTAGAGGCAAATACCTTGCATCAGTGGTATGATTATGATCTTCTAAAAACCAACACTTCAAAGACCCAGCTAATCAACTTTCAAGTCTCAAACAGGTCCAACAAAGATCCGAATCCATCACTCCTTCTTGATCAAACCTTCATTCATTCTGCACAGTCTGTTAAGTTTTAGGCATTCACTTAGACGAAATGTAAAAAAAAATTA